GAGAGAGAGAGAGAGAGAGAGAGAGAGAGAGAGGGAACAAACGGTAAAGAACTTTAGTGCAGAAATTTCTATTTCCTTTCTGATGGGACTCTCCCTCCAGATCTCAGAATGGGAAGCAGCACCAGTGTAAGGAGATTGATCAGTAGTAGGATCCTTGGTACGTAAGATTCTCCCTCCCTCCCTCCCTCCCTCCCCTCCTCTCTTTTGCAGGACATGGATAGTTGGATTGATCCGTGGGAGCTTTTCTTTTAGAATAATGCCTTAGCAAGATTCTAGTTCTCATCCCATCATCTTCAGCATGGAGGGAAAATTTTCAACATTTAGCCTACAATGTATTTGTTTTCTATTCTCCATTGTTGCAGGATGTGATTTCAGGTGAAAGACACCAGGGAGGACAATTGCTGGAAGAACCAAAACTGCTGCATTTCAAAGGGAATACCTTCAGCCTTCAGATTTCTGTTCTTGATATTCCCCCTTTTCTCTGGAGAATTAAACCATTCACAGCATGTCAGGTATTTGCATAGACTAATATGTGTGCGATGAGTATATTTTCCATTTTTAATAACCAAGCAATTTCAAACCTTCAATGTATATATCTTTGTGAGGTTCATTGCTTCTTTTAATGCACAGACTTTTGGATTAAATGTATGGTTTAATACGTTGGTTCTCTATGGACAAGCCACATTTCCAGGATGCTATTATTATCTTTTAGAAAAATCTAACACTTTGAAACAATGAAACAGAGGCTGTACTTTTACCTCACCCGTTTCCAAAATGTCCAACAAATTTATGAAAGATTTCAGAACATATTGATTAGCATATTGGGCAGTCTACAAGAACAACATTTGGAATAAATAAAATATTTATGATTAATTTCTAGTTCAATAGAAGTAGAGATTTGGGCATTCAATTGATAAAAAAAATTGTCAAATATTTTCATATAAACCAACAGCTGATGTAATATTGGCTGATCTTGAAAAGCTAAGCTAGATCAGTTATAGTTAATAATTGCTTAGTGCACCTGGGAGCTGTAAAATAGATAGCATGTAATCCTTGCTTCAGGTTAGGGTTGGGGTGACTGACTGAAGCTGAGAGTTTATTGGCCAGAGGCCTTTCCTGATGCCTATGTGAAGTTCACAGCAGATGTTTTCTTTTTGCACCCTGATAGAGAAACATCTGCAGCTGCCTAGGATTGAACTCTCAACTTTCTGAGTGGGAGGCAAGCATCTTCACCTCTAGGCCACTGTACCACTTGGCTGTAAAATAGATTAAGAAGTTGAAAAAAAATCATTGAAGTTTCGGTAAACAACCTCCTGACTTGTTCTAATAATGGCATTCTGCATTCAAGTCTAGTTTGGCTTGAGGTAGCTTTTAATTTTCTATCATTAAAAGAACAAAAATAAAACATAATAATTAAGCTGTAAGAGATTTGACACTGAGGTTCTAAGGTATTAATTATTTTAAAAAATTGAACTGCTACTGTGAAATAATAATATTAACTTTGCAAACAGTAGATTGTAACTTTTAACTATATTAGAACAAGTCATTAACAACCTGGTTTTGGGGTTTATCTTAGGACAGTGCAAAACAGCCCAAATTAAAACAGAAATGAAACTCATTTATAGAAAATAATCTGGAAGATTTTACCTATCTGAGCAATTTCTATAACTTCTATTATATATTTTCTTTCTACAGCATAATACTCAGCTTTAGCGACTCAACTTCCCTTTCTCTTCTTTTTCTCCCATCTGCAAAAAAAGAGAACGTTTTAAAAGAGAAAACTAATTACACTTCCACTTTATAGTGTTTTTCTATTTTGCTGTTTTAATCACAATTTATAGTGTTTCTTTATCACAATCAGTATTTTGCTCTTATTCACTGAAACAGGTTCTAAATGCAATGCTTAAGAGCTATTGTGTGTGTTTGCTGGAGAGGGTGTGTTTTAATGAACCAGTGGTTTGGAAGGAAACTCATAAGTTACATATTGTTGTTTGCTTCCTTTTGCTGTATATGCTACAATTGCTTTGTTGATGTTTTGTTTTATTTACAATTCCAGAGACTTCCTCTATCATGCCAGAGGAAGATTGATTGGGTTGATTTTAGCTTAGCATAGGGCAGTTTGACTTGAAAGGTGTGTGAGACTCAAAGAACGCTCAATCTTTCTGCATTGTTTTTTTTCCTTGCAACTTCATGATACAAGTCATTTCTTCCCCACTTTGGTTAATTTCCACATTCTGGATAGAGAAGACCTTTGGTTTGAAAGAGAGGTAGTGCAGGGTAAACCCAAAAACCAGCTGGCCAGTGGGAGGGATGCGTGTTGAGCAATGGCTCGCATGCCCACAGAGAGGGCTCCACATGACACCTGTGGCAAGTGTGCCATAGGTTTGCTATCATAGGACTAGGAGTTGAAAATCTTTTCTCCCTTAAATACAAAAGTCATCTGTATCATTTTAGGCCACTCTCCCGGCATAAACTGGAAACTTGAACGCCATCTATCTACCAACCCATGCTGAGTTAGTTTGGTAAAATATGTCCATAATGTTCAATGAAGAGCTTTTCATTGTAGTGGATTGATTGATGATGATGATGATATTGTTTCAAAATGGATAGATTAGCACCTGAAGCTAATGCAGAGCCAAAAACCTGGGATCTTTATTATAGAAGCCTTTTTTTATAATATTTCCATTATTTGTTATTTGGTGCCTATGTAATTTAATGTGCCAGTCATGACTTTTCTATCTTCCTGCCTCTACCAAGTTTAACATGGAAACCTGGCATGCTGTGAAAAAAAATGGCTAATTTCTGCATTGATTCAAAGAATGCGTCCACATGGTTTACAGAGGTCAATTTTTTTCCAGGAGGGGGATATAATAAGCAGCTTTATCCCAGTTCTTCATTGGAAAAGGGATCTATCTTCCTTGGCAAAAAAGCAGCAAAATACGTTGAGGGGGTGTCTAACCTTGGCAACTTTAAGACCCGTGAACTTCAATTCCCAGAATTCCCCAGCCAGCCTTGTCAAATCTTAAAGTTGCCAAGGTTGGTCATCCTTAGTATAGAGTATCTGGGAAAAGACAAGATAAAGAGGACAGATTGAGAAGCGTTTCCTCAGCCTCCTTTCTCGTCATTCATGCTTGTCAACCGGTTACTGCCTTATGTCTACAAATTAGGGATTTTTTCAAGATCAATAACAGCAGCTGTTTGGTAAAAGAGTGCAGAGCAAAATGCTCTTAAACTGCCAACTGTATTATAGTTTAAAGATTCAAAACCCACAGTTCACTTAAAATATGGTTGCTTCCTAATACTTTGCCTCGCCTAGCCATCCTTATGCACAGTTGACCTCTTATTCCTTCAAAGCAAAAAATGTATTGCAAAGCCTCTTTTTTTTAGCACTTATCATTATGGTTTGTTGCCCAGTCAGCCAGATGTTCATATGTATTTGGCATTTTTATCCATCAATCAAGTCCTTCCCAGTGACCTGGGATAGGCAGATGCTGATGATAGATGGTTTTAGAGGTACTGTTGCAGAATGTAAGTTGTTCCAAGTTAAGCTGTGTTTGCAATTGATTGGTGATGAATTTGTCAACGCCAATGGAATTCAAGTGGTGCTCTAATTGTTTTGGGATTGCACCAAAGATGCCTATTATTATTGGTATTACCTCTGGTTTCTTTTGCCACGGTTGTTTTATTTCTATTGGCATGTCTTTGCATTTTGTTATCTTCTCCAGTTCTTTCTCTTCTATTCTACATTAATCTTTTGCTTGATCAATTTGCAAGCCACTTCCATCCTGCCTCTTCTTTTCTAGGAAGTTCCTTTTTCTCGTGTGTGGTGCAACAACAAGCAACCACTTCACTGTGCCTTTTCCCTGGAGCGCTACACTCCTGCCACCACACAACTCTCATGCAAAATATGTGTCAGACAAGTCAAAGGCCATGAACAGATCCTACAGATTCAGACATCGATTCTAGAGGCAAGTCCTTCCTTCCCTGGTCATATCTATCCTCATTTGTTACCACAACATGCAGGCATCTCTGAAATAAATGTATCATTAATATGAATGAAATACTGTGTGATTCTTGGAAAGTTGTTAGCAAGGAAGGACTAAATTGAGTGATAAACTAATTAATCAGACAGATGAGCAAACAGGCATAGGTAAAAGAATAATATAAATTGCTAATCAGGAAATATACAATTCTATTCCCCAATGCACCTAAAGAGAAGTTAGCCAATCTTTGGCTGTTTATGGAATTAAATGCTCGGATAAGCAAGAGAAGGAGACATTTTATAAATATGCTGCATTACATTTTTATCATAATCAGATCAATTTGCTTTCTGGGAGGGGACAGTATTTTACCAGATAGACAGGTAAAAGAAAGCTTTATTGCAAAACGTGATGCACTGTCCATTGAAAAAAGAACGTTGATATTACAAATGTTTTTTTTTAATCAAGAACCATCATATCTAGGTTGTAAATATCCAGAAGGCCACTAGATAGTAGCCAAGTATTAAAATTTACTATATTTGTTTTCTGATATCTAGTGGTTCTCTGAATGTTTGCAGCCCAGAGATGGCAGCCCTGTTTTAATTCTTATTTTCAAAACACAAATACAAGACAAAGTTAATTCAGAAATATATGGAGGGAAATAAGCTCAGTCCTTCTTGAGTGCATCACCATGTATCACTGTTAGTGCATTTTATTGCTTTGTTTGTTCGATAAAGCAGGTAGCAGAAGCTTATCTTCAAGGAGCAGAGTACCAAATCTGTTGCATATTTAATTTAAAACAATCTGGAAATATGATGTACTTGCAGCTTGCCTATTGCTTTGCATTGCTGTTTTTTGAGATGAGCCATAAATGTTATATGAAAAGACATGTAGAAACATCCCCATGAAATATTTAGCATACACTAGCACCAAGACATTGCAGATAAAGAGCAATATCCCGATCCAGAAAAATATGGAGAAAGTGATATGAGGGGAAAATATAGAAGTGGAGAGAGGCAGGTAGTTTGTTACCCATGTAACTTATGGTCTTGGGTATTGCACGGGAAAATGGGAAAAAAAACTGGGAAATAGGCAAGTAATGAACTAGAGACATAGAAAACTGCTTTAAATCACATCCTCTTGAAAAAGAAGACGATAGATCTGTGCAAGCAGTTCTGTTTTTGCTTGAAGAAAATTCCATAGCCAATCCTTTCATGTCAAGATATGGGTAAAAAAAGAAATATCTAGCAAAAGTCAAGAGTACTCAATTAAATGCAGCAAGGGTTGGAATTTGGTGTTTTTCTCTCTTTCAAAAATATGGTAAGTCAACCAAATGTACTCTTTTTCCCACAGTAAAAATAAAAGTGGGACTGTTTTCATTGCAGAGACTTGGAAATTTGTACTTGCATCAGTTTGCTTGACACTGAAATTTAGCAGCCATTGATGCTAAGTACCCACAAGCCTCAGTGCAATGCAATGTCACATTTCCCCCTAACAGTCTTCAGTAATAAGATGATGTTCTGTGTTCACTGCTTAATGAGATGCTGCTGCATGTTTCTTTACATCCAGGAAAGAGTGACCAGCAGTCCTTCAGAATTTGCTAAAGTGCCATTTTTAGCTTCTCTCAAAACTGACTCTGCTAGCTGGCAGGAATGTCAGGATTGTTCTTGATCTGATTCCACTTGCCAGATTGATTCAACAAGTTGATTTCATTTGAGGTGATAATTTGGGTAAGGGGGAGTGGGTTTGGCCAGCAAATCAATTCTGTAATTCACTTTGAAAGGACGGCTCCATTTGATCACTTGGGAATCAAATAGAATATTTGCAGAATCATAAATAGATCAGCTTATATTGATCAACATCTAAAAAGCCCCAGATGTCCACTTCTGCTTTACACAAACAGCAATTTTGTTTACAGAATTGATTCTGGTGAATTAAACAAGTTGGCTTGGGAGGGAGAAGAGCCCGCTTTAACCTCTTATTATTTTTTCCCCATGCAGAATGAAAGAGAAACTATCACTTTTTTTTCACATGATGACATCAACTTTCCTGTTCAGATGGGCCCACAAGCCTTTAAGATACCTTACTCTATCAGGCAAAGAATATGTGCAACTTTTGACACGCCCAGTGCCAAAGGCAAAGACTGGCAGATGTTAGCACAAAAAAATAGTATCAACAGGTAAGCCAAAGCAGTTGCGAAAGACCATCAAATAAGAGTTAAAGTAGTGAGGAATGTTCTAAATCAGAGGTGGGGAACTATGGTCCCTTAATGATTTGTGGACTTCAACTACCAGAATTTCTCAGCCAGCATGGCTGGTTCAGGTCCCCTCATTTGTGACTGGGTCAAAGACTTCCTGATGGACTGTCCTCAAACAGTAAGGGTTGGGTCCTTGACATCTTCCACCCTGAAACCCAGCACAAGCTCCCCTCAGGGCTGTATGCTCAGCCCCTACCTGTACGTGTTGTATACACATGACTGCAGTTGCTCGAATCTCTCCAACATCGTAATAAAGTTTGCAGATGACACAACGGTGCTGAGGCTTATAACTGTATCAGCATACAGGAAAGAAATCCAGAAGGTATCCACACGGTGTTCAAAAAACAACCTACATCTAAATACTAGAAGACAAAGGAGATGGTGCTGAATTTCCAGAAGCACAGAGAAGAACCTGCCCCATTGTATATTGGGGAGAGGCATGTGAAGAGGCTTT